GACGCCCGTCTCCTCCCCTTCCTCCTCCTCCCCTTTAGCCTCCCGTCTTAATAGCGGCTGCGCCTGCAAGGGGGGTCCGGATTCCCAGAGCTCCGGGGTCATGGGCTCCAGACGGCCCTCCGGGGTCACCGGGTCACGGGCGGCGGCGGGCGACGGCAGAGACATGGGGATGTGAGGTGAGGAGAACAGGGGTCCAAAGTGGCCCGAACGCGAGCCCCGGGCTTTCTGTTGGCTTGCTGGCCGCTACCGGAGTCCAAGTTGAGGCAGTAGAACTACTGTTCCGGAAAAGTATACAAAGTCCGCTTCCTCCTACCCCGACACACCCTTTGCTGAGCTTTCTGCTCCCTGAACCTGCCCAACTGGATGCGAAGGCCACCCAGTGTCACCAGGGCTTCTCGTCAGACTAACTGGTCAGTCTGGTCGCCCGGAGATGTTTGCCAGGTGTTGAGGCTGTTGATAGCCCTAGCACTCAACCCACGGGTAAGATTCATAACTCACTCCTTTGGTCTACTTTTCTTGGAACTTTAAAAAAAAAATCTGGTTTGCCCAGTTCCAGGGGGTGAAAAGTACCCCAGAGTACAGAGTAGAAGGTACAAAGTGAACCTAGCTTAGTGTAGGTGTTGGTGAGAAAAGGACCCCACTCTTACTGCAAGGATTGTTTAAGTGGATGGGCCAAACATAAAAAACATAACCAACTTCTGGAGCAGTCTTTCCTGCTCCAGAAGTTGGTTAAAGTTCTGTGGTTAGCAATACAGGGAGCACTCCTTTGCCTTCGATAAGTGCTTATTATCCCTCACCCCCCCCCCTTTTTAAGGCGGGGAGGGCGGCGGAGCGGAGCGGGGCGGGGCGGGGCGGGGAGGATGGTATCCTTTCTGCTGCCCTCCAGGTGGAAATACATTGCATCCCTTCCTACTTGCCTTGTTTAGAGTGAGTCATTTGGTTAGTTGAAGTGTTTTCTTCACAACTTTCTCATTTAGCCATTCCTGAACTTGTGTTTGTAGGCCCTTCCTAAAATTATAGACTTAGATATGAAGGGACCGTAGAGATCTTGTCATCCCAATTATTTTCACCCGAGGACTTTTTATTATGTTTTCATCCAAGGACCCCCTATCTTGAGAGATTTTGTCACTTAAATGAAATCACATACATCACTGTCATGGATGTAATGCTAATAAGCAATTGAGCTAAATGAGTGTACAAACACTAGGCACTGTTCCCTGGAAATGGTCGCTTAATTTTGGCTGTCATTCTTCTGATCCAAAGTTGATCACACATACTGAAAGAATTAAATCAGATACTGTAAAAAGAAAAACAAAAACAAAAAAACAGATAACTCTGCTAACAGTATATGGGCTACCAATCGCATCCTAGAAATTTCTATGATGTCATCAACAGCAAATTAGAATTTCTGATCAGCTCACGATAACCAGTGTTAGCCTGCAGGGTTGAGTTAATGCCTGCCAAAAGTAAAGGAACTTGATGTTTTATTTAATTGCAATTTCCAGAAGGCTCTCTGAAATATTGTAAATAGCTTGTGGACCACTTTCTTCCTTCCTTCTAGTTTAAAGCTAATCCTTCTCCTCTTCCTGTCCCCCTTTCTTGGGGATGTTGATGATTCCATCAGTTATCTCTATGTCAGTCATACTCTCTCTGTGTCTTCTTTAAACTCTCCCTCTCTCTCCTGGCTGTTTTCCTTCCACCAATAACTTTTTCTTGTGTGTTTCTGTGTGTTTACCTCTTCATCTCTTTCCTTCTCTGACGAATATCTTAGAAAGGCTAGTGTTGACTTTTCAGTTTTCACTGACTCCACTCCTATTCTCCCTTCTAAATAACCCTCAAATATGTTCCCTTTTCTCCATCCCCTTGTTGTTGCCTTGGTTAAGACATGATTTCTTGCCTGGATTTCTTATCCTTTAAACTCATCTTCCTCAGATCTGGCTCAAAAATCCAATCTTACAGCTCTCTGCCATATCTCTAACAGACTGAACTTCCTTAAACTCAAATCTGATAATACTAAAAACTAGTTAGTGGCTCCATGTTTGTTGGCCTACCCCTAAACCATCCAGAATGTTAACTACTAATGCTTAACAGGTTACCTCACCCCTAAGAATCTGATAAAAAAAGAAACCATCTAATAGGAACTCTTTCAACCTTGCACTACTTGAAACCAAATCAAACCAAACCAAGCAAACAAAAAGCTGACCACTCTTTATTCCTTCCTTTCTTTTTCTTTTTTAACCAATATCTATTTCCCATTGTACCACAGGAGGTCATGGGGATGAAGAAGACAGGAAAAAGGACTGAAAAGGACTAGCCAGCACAGTAGGAGGAGCACAGTTTTGAGGTGAGAATCTTTTGGTATAATTTTTTTTCTGCTCCACTGTGTCCATTTCATTACTGTTCATACTGTTTATAGTTGATATATAACATTATATTAGTTTCAGGTGTACAGTGTGATGATTTGATGTATATATTGCAAAATGATTACCACAATGTCTAGTTAGCATTCATTACCATATATACATAATTACAGAATTTATTTTTCTTGTGATGGGAACTTTTAAGATTTACTCTCTTAACAACTTTTGAGTGTGCAATTTAGTATTAACTGCAGTTCCTTCTGACTTGAAAAATTCCTCCCCTTCTCTCCCAAAGCTGCCTTTCATCTGTGTCCTTGATTGTATCAGTACTATTTCATTTGAGAACCTAGTCACACATGTGGAGAGATGGACAATGGCTCACTTTATTTGTTAACTTTCAGCATATTGTTCCTATAAGCTTATCAAATGGATTCACAGATTATATTATATACTTTTATTTAAACTCACAAAATAGTAAGTGACTTTAAAAATCCCCAGGGGGAATGTGAATTGAAGATGACTCTAATCATATAAATGCTGGTAAGCAAGAAGGATATACAGAAAGGAATCTTCTAATATAAGCTCTTTATCAGCACTGTTACATGGTTAAAAAAAAGTATCAATGTGTATCATATGTATTACATATCATAACTGACACAGGTTATATATTGATTGTATATCAAAAATGTATGTACCTGACATACACATATATGAACAACTTAAATCTGTAAGAAATTAGAAAAAATTACAAAATTATCAAGATTGTTTGAAATAAGAATTTACATCCACTCATCATAAACCATGGGTCTTGCTCTAAATATGTGGTGCTTTGAGATGGGAGTTACTCTGAATATGAAGCCATCAAAATTAACAAGACATTTAGAAGTTAAGCATCCAAACATGAATTAAACCTTTCTCTTTGAGAGCAAAAAAAAAATTGGGGACATTTATGAATGCTTCAAATTACATGTATTGGTTCATTAGTAGAGCAGTGCACTAAATAAATGGTGCATGCTCAAATTTTTAACTGATAGGAATACACAGTCAAAAGCCTAGAATCACTTACTTAGTGAATCACTGTATTCTGTTCGTTAATGCCTTCCTCAAAGCTTTCTCCCTTTGCTAAGAATACTCTGGTTTAGGCTCCAACTTGACCATTGCAACAGGTTTCAACTGGCCTCCTTGTCTCTAATTTCTCACTTTTTTTCAATCTTTTTTTACCAATTGCTGCTTGAATTATTTGCTTAAGGCTTATATTTGATCTTGACATTTCCTGCTTAAAAACTTTGGTGGTTCTCTATTGCAGCAAAGTGAATTCCCAGCGTCTTAACATGTCTGAGGTTGTCTGTGATTTCGGACTAAGCCTCCATTTCTTCTCTCTAGCTCTCATTTTATCTAGCCATGCTAAACTACAAGCCAGGAACATCATATATCTGTTGGTTTTCTCTTACTATTCCCTTAGCTTGAAATTCTTTCTCCCACATACCTCATGTTCTGCTTATTTAAAACTTTTCTGCTTTCTCCCCCCTCCAGTTTTATTGCAGTATACTTGACAAATAAAATTGCTTATAGTGTAAAACATGATGTTTTGATAAACACATACTTTATGAAATGATTACCACAACCAGAAAAACTTCAATTTAAAGACCTGCTACATTTTGTCTCCTCCATGAACCAAGCCCCATGGCTCCTTAGGGAAGTATAACTCTTTCCTTCCTCTGATTTGTCTTAGTACTTTGTTTCTATCTGTGCTTAAGTATGTACTGAGCACAGGCATTGTACAATCAGAACAGATACCTTCCTTCCTTGTGCATATTGAGTGTATTGGGAAATTATCAGTTCTGTCTTTTGGGACATATCCCACTGTGCCTTGTAATTTATTCCGTTATTATGTTTATCTTCCTCTCCATTCCCCTCCCTCCAGATTTTATGCATTGGGGCACAGGGAGTCAGTACTTTTTATATTATTTGTAGGGAAAACTTGTGAAAGACTTAGAAATAGACCAAGATATTATGGTTGTCTTCAGTGGGAAACTAGGCATTGTCCAGATTATCTGATTCTATGGGGCCTCTGAATCTTTCATTGTCTTTGAGTTATTTTACATTGCTGTAAGTTATATAATACTTATAGTAATGCAAATGATTCTTGTCCATAGAAATGCAAATTATATCTCATTGGGATTCAGTTGATTATTGCCCTGTGGATGTTGAGCAGTTTTGAAGTTTTACATTTGTTAAGCAAATTTATTTCATCCTTCTTAATGCCCTTATATATGTGATTCTTTGAGTTCTCCTTTGAACCAATTGTAATATCTTTCTGGTTCCCTCATTAATTAATGAATTAAATAAAAGCTTTTACACATGTTCATTTTATATCTGTATGAGAGTCATGCTATATCCTCTTCTAAAATTTATCTTTTAATATATGAATATTAATATATGAATATTATTACTATTTCTTAAGTTCAGATTAAAGATCATTTAATGAGTAACACTGGAGAAAATTGAGATACTCTTCTTAGAATTTTTAAGATTATGGGATAGAGGAATATTTTTCAAGGTGAATTTGGCTTGTCTGAACAAATGAACAGTTTCCTATAGAAGACTGAAAACTTGTTTCTATTACTGTGAATTCGAATATTGGCCTTTGGATTTTTTGATCAAGTTGAGTGTACCCAAAGCAAAGCAAAGCAAAAACCAAATATCTGATTTGTATGTACTGAAGTATTCAAAAAATGATACAGAACAGTAAGAAATTCTAAAGTATTACTCAATTATTTTATTATATATATATTTTTTTAATCTGGAAAATTTCACCTGAAAAATTTATACAGAAATCTTCCTATTAATCATTTGGAAATTTTATAAAGTCAAAGTTTTATACGTGATATAATATTCTTCAGTATAGGAAACACATCCTGAATTCACAGCAGATTCAGACCTGTCCTTATCTTCAGACTGGGAAACACTTGGGAGTCAACCTTAGGTTTTTGATCCTTTCTGTCTAAATTCTCTGCTTACCCCAATTGTATTCTGCTTTCCCACCTTTTCAGCTTCTCTTCTGTCTTCTTTCCTTCTTCTGCCAATTGTAGTGTTCCCCAAATAGCTGTACTTTGGAGAAAGGTCTTCACTCCCTTCCCTGATAGACTCATTCACTTTACTAGTTTGGATAAAGGTGAAAACATAAGAGATGGGGAAAAAAGGCAGAGATTGAAGATAGATTTTAGTACTCAAAAACTGTTAGAAAATGCTGATAGATAGTTTGTGGGAAGATAAGGAAGAGGCAGAATCAAGGGTGACTTCAGTTTCCTGCTTGAGCAGCTGGTGGCTTCAGGGACCACTTAGTGACCTGGGAAAGACTGGAGTAAGGGCAAGCTTGGGAAGGAGTATCATAACATTTCTTCAGTTTCTTCTTGTTTACATTGAAGTATGTTTAAAATAAAACCCAAACAATCCACTACATACTACATTTTCAGGTGTGAAATTCTGCACCATCCCCTCACCCTCAATACACTTTCTCTAGGACAGAAAAATGCATTTCCCACTCCACTCCAAGCTGCACACTTTTCTTTTCAGGGGAAATCAACATTTCCTGTCAACAGTTAACAAATAAAGGGTGGGGGAGAGATGATAGTGTAACAGTTATTTTGCCCTAGGTCTTCCTCAAAGGCTAAGACACATTCTCCTTTCTGTAGAGTAGTTGTTTTAAATTATCTGGAAATTCACAGTTCACTGCTTTAAAAAAAAAAATCCCTTAGGGAAGGTGAATATGAATAGCTCCCATTGTTTCTCAGGTGAAGGATGTCAACCATTGATCAGATCAGAGTGGGGCAACTTGAAGGGGAGAAGAAAAATTCTAAATGACCTGCCTGGTTTCACACAGCCTTCTGGCCCAAATGGTCCTGACATTTTCATTAAGCAGGTTAAAGAAAACAATAGAGGTTAATTAACTTAGTGGTGTTTCAGCTGAAATGGCCAAAACTGCCCAAGGCCTCAGGTAAGTCTAACGTTGTTAGCAGCATCTTGGCCTTCCACTTTACACTCTATCACCTTTGAACGGCCGTAAGCAAATTAGGATCACTTTTTGTATAACACTGTGTGGCTCACAGGGACATATGAAAATGTATTGGGTAACATCTGTAAAGTACTTTAAGTGATTTATTCTTTAACCAGTTTTTCCTAAGGGATACTTTGTCTCACATTCTTCTAATTGCCATCTAGCTAGATGATAAAGAGCAATCTTCAACTAAACACTTAGTTGGTTGCAGGAGATGACTCATAGATCTTTTTACTCTGTGCAGGCGGAACATGCACTTACATTTCCCATCATGAAATTCTGCCTTTCTAACTAGCATTGTTATTTTTGGGGTGACATTTAGACATCATTTTTGGTTTGCGGAAGTGGCAGGTACAACTTTGTGGTTGTTAGTAAAAAGTTTTTACTACAGGGATAGAATAATGTAGTAAAAAATAGTGTAGGTTTTGAAAGAATATTCGTGGTTTGACACCGGCTCCACCATTTACTAGGTAAATAATGTGGCAAATCATTTTACCTGTTGAACTTCAACTTACTTACTTGTAAGATGAGATAAGACTTATCACTCAAGGTTGTTTTTATGACTAAATGAGTAATGTATAGTTTTTGACACTTAGATGGTGCTTAATGAAAGATTCTTCCTTCAAAGTTCGTTGACACTGGTAAATTCGCCGGAAGTTTTCTTAAATTTGCTCTCTACCAGTTAACATATATGCCATGGAGACTGGGTGTTTAATTAATAGAAAATAGTCAAGTCAAACATGGATACATTCCTTTAGATAATTAAATAATTCTTGGTTTAGTCTGTTAAACAGTACTCCAGTATGACGTTGAAAGGTCCTGTCACCTACCTTTTTGCCTTATATACAAGTTTTAAATAATTTTAAACAGTCCATTCTTTGGACTCAGCAGTCCATTCTTTTGTTCATAAATAACTTCTAGAGATTTATTTTTGATCACACGCACAAAAGGCTGATTTAATTATGGTTTGGACTGACTGTTTACATAGTTCAGCAAAAGGTATTAACTAACAGTGTGTATAGCCTCCTTGAGCATTTGGTATTGAGCAACTGCAGAGGTCAAAGAATTAAATTTTGCTGAGTAATTTCATTAAGAGATACAAGATTCAATTATTTAAAAGTATTTTTTTTTCTATCCTAAGATTAAGAAACCAAGCCTAAGAAAATCTGTCTACCAAGATTTCACCTCATTGCTTATAGAATCTGGTGAACGCCTCTCCACCTGAAGTCCACATATGCAGAGATTCCTGGCCAGCCAGTGAGTGATGCTGCTTTTGACTTGTGAGGCTTTCACCATGAAACAGGTACCAGGCCAGTATTTGGGGGGTTGAAATTTGTAGGCATTACTTTCACATATAAAATATAGCACTTGCTCTTAAATGATGGGATTTCCATATCTGATTAAATGCCATTTATTTTCAAACTTAACTCTCAGGTATGACCTTGAATGACAATGTCAAAATCTTCTCTGTTGGAGTGCAATGTATAATTTTCAATAAGAATTTGATACTTGGTGAAACGAGAACAACTTCTTTTGGACCCTATGCAAGTAACTGAAAACTCAGTAGAGAAATTTGGTTCTAAAATTTGAAGGAGGCACTGAGAGTTAGGAGCCATTTTTTAAATGTTTCATTTGATGTTGAGAGTTCCATTTGATGTGGAGGGTAAGGGAGCTAGAAATAAATTGCCAAGTAAAGGACTTCTTCATATAAGCATCAGAAAATAGACAATTAGCAAATGAATGTCATCAGTATTCCAAACCAAATAACTATAATTAAATTTACTATCAGTTCATTTAGCTTTATGTATTTATTTCTTGTTCTGCTGCATCGTGGGTTATCAGCCTACTTTCATGAAGTCATCTCTTTCTGAACTAAAATGGGTCCTGGTGGCTAACATCAGAAGATAACAGGAATTAGCTGTCAGTGAGACTAAATGATTATGGTTAACATATATGGTAACTACAATGTCAAAACTGAGGACAGTAAAATTCTCTATTGAATGAAGTACGTAATTTTTTGTAATAATTTGATCAGTGCTTTTCCTGGGAGTAAGACTGTTTTATGGACAGAGAGAGCACTGACAAATCTCCAGGGCCTCCCAGCTCATTCTATCATGTGTATAATGTCAGAAACATAGATATGAATAATATTTTATCTATAAAATTTACCCTTTAATTTGATCAGTTCTTAGACTGGTGTTGAGTTAATCATGAAACTTACACCATGTCAAGAAAAGAGTTATTTGGGACATCACCTCTTTTATAGGCAAAAAGACAAATCTTCATGAATTTCCTGGGATCTTTATGGGATATTTCAAAGAATTTTTATGTGTAAAGAAAATCCTGAAAACTATTTTTCTGAATCTAAGATATGATTGTGGGAAAGCAAAATCAAAAGAGTTATTAGAATACTTTAGATCATGCATTAAAACAGGCTCATGTGTACCTGAGAAACAATAAATTGGCTACCTAATAAAGTGAGAATACTGTATTCTAAATAAGAAGAAGGTAACATAATTGAAAGGAATCTTAGCTTTTTCAGAAATGAGAAACTTTATGTTTTTGTTGCTTAATAGTCAAGGGCTTGAGAAAGTCAGCACAAACACAGAATACTGTTTTGATGGTATATGGAGTTTCCAACATGCAGACGGATCACACAGAATGTAAAAGAATAACTATTTACTACCCCTTGTTAAGAGAAGACTAAAGAGTTTAAGATAAACTGTCATTTTAATATATAGAAAATGAAATTCTAGTCTTGCATTATTATTATATTTAGCAGTAAAGGATTCATGAGCTCCC